TTATCAGGATAAGGAAGACTGCGCCTTTGCGCCTTTCCTGGGCAATTCTGATTACATGTGTTCACATTGTGCATCTAGCAGTGGGGAGGGCTTTCCAGCCGCTCGAGTTGCTGAACAGGGATTTTCATTCCCTTGCCTCCTCCTCCATTGATTTTTGGTTCTGCGTCCTTTCGGCGCACGGATTTTCACTCACTTTGTGGGCTCCAAGGGCGGCCCTTTGGTTTTTTGGATCATTTGGCGGTCCTCCCTCCTCTCCTCCCCTTCAGGGGTCATTTTTTCAGGCCTGGGGCTCTTTCCTTTCAGGTTCGAGGCCTTTGGGCTGCGGCTCCTTCTTCCTCTTCTACCCCTCTGGGGTCGTTCCTTCAGGCCTCAGATTCTTTCCTTTCAGGTTTCAGGCCCCCTTTGACCGCCGCATTTTGCTTTATTTATTTGTATTTTTGCCACGGCCTCATTGATGAAGCTGTCGTGGATCACATGATTTTGCGGTTTGATCCCGCGTCGTGGCGTCGTTTCGTTTTGTTGCGCGTTGTTGTTGCTGTCGTTCGTCCTTGTTGCTGTTTCGCTGTGTTGTTGGGGCTGGCTCCTTAAGCCTTGTGCCGGAGGGGCCGCCCTTTTGTTAGGCCAGGCCCGTGCCTCGGTCGATTCTCACCTCACCTCACCTCACCTCGGCTTTCTTAGCATTCCTGGAGCAGATTGTTTGCCCCCAGGTCTGTTTGCCTCTTTGCGGGGGCTGTGTTGCTGGCCGTCTACGGCTCGCTGAGGTTGAGCGACTGTCAGGCGATTCCATGGTCACCCCTCCACATCGGAGCAACGTCGTTGCGTAGCAAAACCATGCGCGCAAAAACCTCACGCACCGGCATGCCATTTTAGGGTATGGCTTCGGGGCTTTTGTGGCGCACCACGGCAAAGACGATGTAACCCCAGCACTCACTTGTCAGCGGCGGGTCTCCGCGTCCTGAGCAGAGCGGGCGTGGTCGGGCTTGCCGCTGTTGGCGCGGGCTTTGCGCAACAGTCGCGTCCAGTCGCCTCGCAAAAAGCGGCTGCTCTGGCCAGTAGCTCGGCTCGCCCTTCCGCTTCTTATCGCGCAGTGCGGGCCAACAGCATCCGCCGCGTCAGCAGGAACAACTTCCACGCACGCGATGTGGCGGCAACCTCCCCGGTACGGTTCGCGTAGTCGCTGTGCAAGCGGCGTGGAACACACCAGCGCGCCTCGCACCGCGGCTCGCATGAAAGGAGTGACGTCCTACAGCGTGGGCACTGGGTGTTGCAACTCCGTGGCCCAATTGACCTCATCCAGGCTTGCCCATGGCGCCGCAATCGCAGCGGCGCCCAGCTCTTCAGCCGTGGCTGGGCAAAGGGGGGATGCGGTCGCTGTGCGGCAGGGCCGGTTCTCACGGAGCGTCGGGCGGCGGCGGTTGCGGCGACGGCGGCGTGGGCTCGACGTCGCGGCAGGCGGCGGGGTATGTCGAACATCGTCGGCTAAGCTTCGCGCAGTGGCCCCAGCAAACGTACGACTCGAAAAATGTGGACATTGCACGACTGCTGTGAGGTAGTCATCGGGCACCATGCAAAGGAGCACTGCAGCCGCGAGCGGCAGCGGTGCATCGGTGTGTCAAGGCAGTCGCGGCGCACGGTCCTCTTGTTTGATGCGCCAGCCTTAGTCCTGAGCCTCACACTCTGCTTCCGCGAGCAGGGTCCGGGCGAGTACCGTGGGCGAGGCCGGTGGCACCTCACGCAGTATGGACACGAGCTGGTCGAAACGACGGCAAGTTACCCAAGCTTGGCGGGCACGTGCTGCGTGCAGCAAGGGGACGTGCAGCCAGGAGTTTTGCTCGCCGGGCATTGTGCTCGGCGGGCGGGCATCCTGGCCGGTGAGCGCGGCGGTGTGAAGCCGGGCTTTGCCTCCTCCGATGCTGTCGGGGTCTCCGCAGGGTGAAGCGAAGGGCGTGGTGGTCTTTGTCACTGCAGCGTCAGTGTCGGAACGATGGCCCTCCGCGCGAGGTTCCTTCGGACCGTCGGGCGAGATGAAACCAGTTGCGTTTGGGCGAGGGCATGAAGCCCTCTCTCCTGACGTTGCGCCGTGTCGCCAGCCGTTGGCGGGTGCGGCGTCCAGGTGGCGACGTCGCGCTGGCAGTTGGCCGTTGGCGGTCCTGGCGATCGCGGCGATCGCGGCGTCGCACTGTTGCACCATGCCCCGCCGATGGGGGAAACGTAGCTTCGCTGTGACGATCCCTACGGCCAGGCTCCCTCCCCGTAACGGTGCATGCAGACACGCAACTAGCAGCATTTGCTTTTTCCCGCAGGCAGGTCCCACATGAGAACTTGGATCAGCGGCTCTGTATGGAGTGGCCCTAATAAAAATCGCAGATGCTGGGGCGCAGCCGAAAGGCCGCTCTCCCTCAACACCGTTGGCAGCGCAGCGGCACACGCAGCTGTTTCCTGCATGTTCGGAGCGCCCCGCTACTTTGCGAGGCACTTGCGGAAGAACTCCTGTGCGGGGTGCTGCGCGGGCGCGCGCCGCAACTCCCGTCGCTTGCCTTTATGGATGGAAGCTCGCACCCGTCGCACGCGCCCACACGCTGCCCCGCCACGCACTGCCCGCCACCCCGCGAGCACCAAACGCAGCGCGAACTACCAGCCAGCGGGGCGGGCCGTACAGCAAGGCGTGGAGCCCGTCCGCCACGCCGTGGAGCAGGGAGGCGACCTTCTCCACCATGGGGGGCCTCCACCACGACTGCCCTGGTGCGCGAAGTCGCCGCAGCCGCAGCCGAAGCCGCAGCTAGCGCAGCGCGGCGCCGCCTGTGGGCGAGTGGCAACGTCTGCCAGCCATCGACCGAACGGTCGCTCTCCACACCATGGTATTTTTCCCAGACATGGATCTCGCTTTCGGCAGGGAGTGGTCCGCGTGATTCAGACCCGAGCCCGCTGTGCTTTTATGCCCGAGGCGTGGCACGGGCCAGCTCCTGTCCTTGATGCTGTTCGCCTGGGCCGGGCTGTGGCCCTACGCAAGCCGAACGTTTT